CTTTACATGTCTTTTCTGTAACAAATAAGACAACGCTGCACAAACTATTTCACAGAAACATGGTCTAACCAAGGCTTTGTGAAGAACTATTATCTCTTCCATGCCACAGCTTATTTATACATACTATTATGGCATTTGCTATATCTTCAGACTGTAAGTGCTTGTCTAATTTGCTGCTTGTGATCACATCTAGGCCTTTCTCAATATTTCTCCTTTGTAACAAGTATTCTTCCATTTTGAACTTCCGCTTGGTGTTTTTACCTCCTTCTCTCACCTTACTAATTCTTGACCACTTTTCTGAACTTTTAAATTCCTTCCTTTCCTAGTCTCTGCATCCTCTCCAAATCTGATTTCATGTCTGCAATTTACTATTGTAAACATTACTTCTTCCTCTAAATCATTATGAAAATAAACAATTTATTAAGATCTGGCTGATAATTAAAGCATGTATTTTGGGTTTCGGCCTAAGTATAATATTTTGAGTCCAGATGGCGAGCAGCAGCATTTAAGGAAATTTCAAAACTGGAATTTCCAAAGGATTCAGTGGTAAAAGAGAAACAATTCTTGAAAAATATAGTGCAGCACAGCTTTCTTACCATCCTTTCATCAGATGACAGCACTCTAAATCGACTCATGCCTTCTTTTATTATGTCTGCTTCCTCCAAATCAGGATTATCTGCCAAAATACTCTCTCTGTTTTCTTCTAGCCACATTTGGAATCCTGTCTTTGGTCTAAAATTGTCACAAAAAATAATTTCCAGTGTATGAAGCCTATAGAACAACTTTACAAAAATAGCATTTGCAACAAGAACTGATTGGAGTGTTTTTTATTGCCACCGAGATCCTGTCTAGAAAAGGAAGTCAGCATATTCAGCAGTTTCTATTCTCTCTTCAGAACAGTTCACCAGTAGGCTGCAGCAACAGGCCAAGTCTGCGTGTTTTTAAAATAGAGTACTTGACTTTAAAACAGTGGTGGGAAACCTGCAGCCCGCGGTCAATGTAAACAAACTGTCTGGTGGCCCACCAGCAGAAATCATGGCTGAGGGCCTAAAACTTACACTACACATCATACATGACTATCAGTCACATACGGATACACCTATCTCAAAGTGACACAAAATCAGGTGTGAATGGATTTTCTGTAACTGTTGGGAGACATGCAACGTTCTATGCTTTCACTGTATTTTCCTTACAATCACACGACTTGTTTTATGCAGAGACAGGTTTGACAATACATATACTATAAATAGCAGCCAGCTAAGATCCTAAAAGTGGCTTCACAACTGTGAAAACTTATTAATGAATGCTCTTATCATGGTTTTATACAGTTTTGTCTCATTCCAATGCCATCAGAAATTGTTCCCACAATCTTAATGTGTAACGACTACCTCTAGAGGCGAGGCAGCTAAGTCTTCACTCGATTAGCTAGTGAGACTCAGAAGATGAATATAATAGAAGTGCTGACACACCACTTTGATAGCTCATGATAGCTCAGTGGTTTGAGCATTGGCCTCCTAAACCCAGGGTTGTGAGTTCAATCCTTGAGGGGGCCATTTAGGGATCTGGGGCAAAAATCTGTCAGGGACGATACTTGGTCCTGCTAGTGAAGGCAAGGGACTGGACTCGATGACCTTTCAAGGTCCCTTCCTGTTCTATGAGATAAGTATATGTCCATATATTTATGTTCCAAAATGTTCAAACCAAACTTTTTAAAAAATGCGACACTTCTAGAGTACGTCAATATTGCAGCCTGGGGTGTGAATGGCAGCTCATGTAGATATAATCTAGCTAGCTCACTAAAAACAGAAGTGAGGATGCTGCAGCACAGGCTTCAGTGCGGGCTGCACAAGTCCACCTGACCCTGCTGGGTATGTACTCACTTGTGCAGCAACTGCTGAAGCCCACACTGCAGCAGCCTCACTTCTATTTTTAGCAAGCTAGCTAGAGCACAACTAGCATGGGTACATCTCAGAGTTACTATTCACACCCCCGGCTGCAAAGCAGACATACCCTGAGACTAGCCAGATCTAAAGAATTAAAGAACATTAATGTGCAGATAAGAAAAATGAAATAGCAACAATTAATGAGCCTGATATTAGAAATGCAGACATTTCTGAAGTTGTGTCAAGTGTATACATCAAAATTAAGTGTTATGTGAGAAACAAAATCCCTTGTATTCATTCACCTTTTGTTTTCAGTGGGAGCAGCTTGGATTTCAGGCAATATATTTTCAGCTTTTTCTTCTTTTTCTTCTACTGCTTTGTCACCAGCATGGGGTGGACGGGGCTGGAAAAAAGTGGCTGCTAAAGCCTATAAAAATTTATAGATTTAGAAAAATTCACCGGTGATATTTACACATTGTGAATACGTCTACATCTAACAATACAAAACACATCATCCCAAGGAAAAGGGATTTTACTGAGGGTTTCTGTTGTTAAACTAATGGTTTAAAACCTTAAGACAGTACATGTGTATTATTAATACTCTATTATTAAATAAGAATAACTACTGAAGTCACTGCAAAGGCATGCTTTGTACAGCTTGACAAAAAAAAAATGTCATATTGCTTTTTAATCTGCACATGGTGTAGTTCTACACATTTCTGTACTCGGCTCGGACAGAGTTTACCATCTAGGTTGTTTCATTCAATCAACAGTGTTTCCTATATACAATAAGAGCAGGGAAAATTCATTTTACTCACTAACTTTTTGCTCACTGAACTAGTGTAAAGACTGGAAATATTACCTGCTTGGACTTGGGCTTGGGCATCAGAGGCTTTATAACTGGAGACTTTTGTTTGTTTACAGCCCGGCTGTTAGGTGTTGGGGTATTCTTGGAGAACTTGCTCATATTATCTAGAATATTAGCTGAGTGAGCTGTTGGGTCTTTTTGATTAGCCAATACCTAAAGTAACAAACAGTTGGGAGCATTTTATTTTCAGTCACAAAAGGGAGTCTTCTTTTCCAAAGAATTTCTTTTATATGAAAATCTGAACTTAAAAAAAACCAACAACCCACTATCAGATGAACTGCAAAATTCTTACCTTGAAGGGATTGACTCGTCCTTGACTGCTAGATGTAATTACAGCTTTTGTTACAGAAAAGGGAAAAAAAACAACACATGAAATTCTGCAAAGTATTGTGTGTGCTTCATATGATTAAATGGAACATTTATCATTTTATTTCCTTAATTAGAAAAATAAAAATATTCCGGCCTGTTAAATCAAAACTGGAAGTTCTGCACTTTTACTAGGATGTTAGGAAACAGGAGGAGGAGGCACGTGGGTAGATACTGACAACAAAATGATAGACCTGACAACAACATTTTCTTATTGGAATAAAATGGGATTTACTCACCAGATTTAGGAGTAGACATTTCTGGCAATCCTACAGTTTTGCAGAATGGATTTTGTCCTTCAGAATAAAAAGATGCATTTTAAATTCATAACAAAATGCAAATATTAAAACAGCACAACTCATTTAAAAAAAATCCTAGTGAACTCGTATGTAACTTTCATCACTACTTTACATTTTAGTATTTGTATAAGTGCTTTAACAGACACATTTAAATCATTGTATCCCTATTTGGACTCACCTTTTCTAAGAAGAAGGAAAGAGCTGAATATTTACTTTGCTAAGCTAAGCTTTACTTTGCCACTTTTATGGATAACCCCACTTAAACTTCATCTTTTTGAGCAGTAGAAGCAACAGCATTTATTGAAAAGAATTTCTAGTACTTAAAGTGTTACCATAATATAGAAAAGAGCATACTAAGAAAAAACGAACTTATAATTGCAGGTCTTCAAAGCAAGTTTCAGTGTTTGCACACTCTTCACTCCTCCAAAAAAAATGGTAAGCATGTGCTAGACTGTAGTTCAGTGATTATTTCCCCTCCAACCCCTCCATCTTAGAGTCCAAAGCATTCAGATTACTAAATATGTATTAACACACAGAAGGTGGGAAATGGAAAGAGCACAAGGAGATGCATGCTAGAAAGTCTGTCTGGAGGTGATAGTGAAGATATAGCAGAGCATCACAAGCTACCTATAACCCTTTTCCTTCAGGTGCCCCAGAAAATGGGCATTGGCAGCCAGGGAGAGGACAGAGCCAGGATGTGCCTTCATTCTGTTAATTCAGCCCATGTAAGAGCTAAATTGAAACCAAGGAAACAGTTCCATCAGGTGACCCAGAAGTCAATAGGTGCTATTGTTAAAAATGAAACCATAAAAAAAAATGCAGTGATAGTAACATAGTTAAGTGGGATGTTCAAACCAGACAGAACATGTCTAATGGTTAGTGTCCTAACTGGAGTCAAGAATCCTTATTTCTTTCCATAGACTTCAGTGGGCTTTGGATCAGCCCTATGTGTAGAGCACTGCAAATCTGCTGCTATCTGCTTTGCATCCGCAGATACGGATATCCACGGACCATTTTTGCAGATCGCGGATGGATGAGGATCCAAATTTTATATCTAAAGCCTTGCAAATCTGTGGATATCAGCTTTATATCCGCGGATCATTTTTGTGGATCACAGCTCGGATGCGGATACAAATTTTGTATCCGCGCAGGGCTCTACCTATGTGTCTGACCTGCTGTGTCCCTTAATATCTGTGCCTCACTTTCCTTGTAAGATGGAGATGATACTTACCTACCTCACATTGGTGTCTTGAAAATTAATTCTTTAAAAATGTTAAATGCTATATAAATTGTTGTGTTATCATCCAATCCATTTTATAAAGTTATGAGGGGAATTTCCACAATGAAAAATTCCTGTTAAGTCTGTAAAAGAAAGATCGGTGTAAACTTCCCAACCTGCCCCAAAAGTGTTTCTTACTAAATTTTTGCATTTCTTCCACTTCCTCAACTGCATCAGCTTCCTTGCTGTCTTCCATATCTTGTTCATGCAGAAGGTTTCTGACTCGAGGCTGGCTCCACTCTGTTGTAGAGTTGCTATAACTAAATGGAAATAATTAATTTTAATGAGGCTGTGCATGAAACTCCACCTCATCCAAAAGGGAAAGAGGAACGCTCATTAACAGAAAGGAATAAAGTGAGACCAAGTTACATTTCTGTATTAATTTTATAAAATGAAAACAGTCTAGGCTTTGTTGTTTTTTTTTTTATTATGCTGTGGATTAATCTGTGATAAGACAGTCAAAACAATTCAAGGGTTTAATAAATTAAATATCAATAACCACGTCAGTGCCACCAACGCACAAAATACATTCAGTACCACCATCACAGTATTCTTATGACACTAAGTGGGATCACATGTGCCTGTGTGTTCTCTTGAAGTTCACAACACTGAATTAAAACAGCCTGCACTGACCTCCAGAACTCAAAGGCTCAAAGACACATCCACACAACTTTACCTTACTACCCAAGATGGGCAAGATAGTGTGCTCTGAATAAGAAGAACATTGCAATCATTTTTGGAGGAAGAGTTAAGGAGAAAGGTGCTAACTATTGAGGAAAGGGATAAAGTATCCGAGATCTCCTGCTATATAGTGTTGACAATTTGCAACAATATAAATGGGCCAAGTTTTCAAGACTAATCATTTAATTGTGCACACATGCCAATTATATGCACAAACTACTCATTTAAATACAAAGCCAAATAACTGGATGCATATATTTTCAAACTGCAATTTAGGCAGCAAGTGTTGAAAATATGATCTTATATTTTACTGAAATCCCATTAAATTACCAAGTACATTTTCTGTATTTCTCTCTCAATCTTTGCTGATTACTAAGATGTGTGTATATGTAAACAGAAGCTCTCTTTTTCCAACAAGACTCTTACAGCAATGACTGAATCTGGCAATAAAAACAATCTAGTTTTTGTGATATAATCCTAGAAGAGACTGAAATCACCAACATTAGACTGTGGCTTCCATTCATGAACCAGGAAATTGGAGCAGACTACTTGGAAGGGAGGTATCATCCTGTTTGCAGCCACATATTCTGAAGTAAACCTGCAGACATTTTTATGTATGGGCCTTGCACTTGTTGCAAAATTAAACTTCTTTCTATCAGAATAAGCTTCCTAACTTTACGCACTGTACTGTGATGCCATTATCTCACTGCTGGTGAAAGGCTGTGAAAGCTTTTCTATCACTGGATTAGTGACACCGTTTAATACCAGTTCTATTCCTCTATCTACTCCTAGGGGGACAGGGGCTGTGAGGAACATCCACTTTGGCTGTAAATCGCAACTAAGGGCGGTTCTACCACATTCTTGCACTGAAATAATTAACTTGGTTTTAAGTCACAATTTTTGTTATTTTGGTGCAAGTCTGCATGTGGACACTAATAACAAAAGGTGTGCATTAAACTGCTCTAGTTATTTCAGGATCAGTTTGTGTGTAGACCAGCCTTAAGTCACTGCACTGCCAACTCAGCCTAGAATCTCAAGAAATTGATCTGAGTTCCTTCAGCCTCAATCATCACCAATAATAGTTTGCAATCAGAACTTAGTTCTATTCTATTCTATATAGGTTCAAATACCACCATAATTACTGTGGTAACTGAGCAACTTAGATAAAAATTCTTCCAACACCACATAAGCAGGAAATGAACCAACCCACTCTCTCTAGCTTTGCTGGCTCTTCAGAGCTAGCTTAATACGTTGAATCCCCAGAGGGAGTAGAGCTATTGAACAACACAGCTCTACTTTTCTATAGACAATTTTTAGAATAGAATCACACTAGGATTAGAGCCAATTGTCCTAACACTAATAAATATATTGCAAGTTATAGCATTGGACAATAAAATTGGATTGACTGCACCATAATTTTGAATATATCCATATTAAAAAAACCCTGCAAGTTTCTTTATCATGTTGAAATTCTTTTTACCCAGCATTCAGATGATTTCGGAAATCCTCCTCCTCCTCCTCTTCTTCAGGTGCTGCCATCTCTGTCGCTTTCTCTATAGCCATCTCACTAAGCCGCTGGGCTAATATTAATTTTCTAGAGCGAGATGCATACTTGATAGCTAAATTGACAGCATTTTGGGTCATCAAGTCAGCAAGCTCCACACAACGAAATTCACGTTCCAGTTTACAAGAAAGCTAATAAAGAAAAATAGTCCTTTAGTTGCACACTCCACAGGCATACTTCCTAGAATAACCCAAAGAGAATAATTAGTAATGGCACTAGCCACCACCAACTTAATATCTCATAAGGGGCATAGCTTAGCCAGACACCTGTATATATACCTTATAGCTCCTAGTAATTTGTAAGGACAGTAACTTTTCTTAGGCAACACAGACTGAAATTTAGTAATCATGACAGTGAAAGTTTAACAACACTGTCTTGAACAACAAAGGATAGATCTAATCCTGCTCTCCTGACTCTCTTGATTAGTGTTACTGATTTCAGTGGGACTACTTGCATAAGAGAAGTTAACAGGATTTGCACAATGTGGGCAGGAACTACGCAAACATTGCACATAGCACTGCCAACACAATTCAATTCTGACCCTGCAACACCTATAGTATTCTGGTGCTAGACTTATTACGCAGAGAGTGCCAACAATACTTAATAGTATAGCAAAAAAAAGGAGTTCTCTCTGTACAACACCTTTTCCACAATTGAAAAGCAATAGTGAGACTAAAATCATACAGCGTGTTAGGTGGATAACTGCACACATGGAAGAAAATGACAAAGTAGCGATCCATAATTAAACAGCATCAAATACCATCTACTGAAAATTAATGCTCAACAATAAGTGTCAATTTCTTTTGCATTTAAATTTTACTTACAGCAAACAATTTCATTAAAAGCTCCTGCTGTTCTTTTGCTGCCTCATTTTTAGCATTTTCATCATATTCATATCCATTTTTGGATAAATAATCCAAGTGGTTGTGAAACACTACTGAACGCCAAAATTGTTCCTGAATAAGAGAGAGAGGAAAAGGCCAGAAAAAAAAAGGTGCTTAGTACTTTCCACCAACTTGTATCAAATTATTCTCTAATGTTCCTTTTCACATCCTGCTGGGGCAAGTGATAGATATTTGTCCTTAAGCCTTTATCTGCAAAAGAAAAATAGACCACACTAAGAACTTGGACAAATTGGAGAGAGTCTAGAGAAGAGCAACAAAAATGATTAAAGGTCTAGAAAGCATGACCTATGAGGGAAGATTGAAAAAACTGGGTTTGTTTAGTCTGGAGAAGAGAAGACTGAGAGGGGACATGATAACAGTTTTTAAGTACATAAAAGGTTGTTCCAAGGAGGAGGGAGAAAAATTGTTTTTCTTAACCTTTGAAGATAGGACAAGAAGCAATGGGCTTAAATTGCAGTAAGGGAGGTTTAGGTTGGACATTAGGAAAAACTTCCTAACTGTCAGGGTGACTAAGCACTGGAATAAATTGCCTAGGGAGGTTGTGGAATCTCCATCATTGGAGATTTTTAAGAGCAGGTTAGACAAACACCTGTCAGGGATGGTCTAGATAATACTTAGTCCTGCTATGAATGCAGGAGACTGGACTAGATGACTTCTCAAGGTCCTTTCCAGTCCTATGATTCTAACTTTATGGCATACTTGTAAAACACATCATATCCACACACAGAAGTGCTCCAAATAGTGTTGCCAATGTTGTTTGTATGTATTTCTGGAGGTTTCATCGTATGACATAATCTTTAATTAAAGATTAATCTTTAATTCCTGGAGACTCCAGGACAATCCTGGAGGTTTGGCAACCCTAGCTCCAAACAGCTTGCATGCACAAACGCACGCCATTTGTATTATACTTGTTCGCAGCTGGTCTAATCTGAACTATCTGAGCCTTCACCAGTTTAGGGCTAGAGTGAACAATGCTAAACCATTCCGAATAAAACAGTTCAAACAGTCCTACTACTACTGTTCTACAGTGCATTGGCAGCTTTTCAAAATCCCCAGAATCCACTGCTTCTGGGAGCTGTAACAGAAACTGTAGGATAGAATACCAGAAGGCATTGTAAGTGAAACAGTATAAAACAGCACTAGCATGGACACTGGCCAAAACTGCAGTGGTTTGCAAACACAAATAAACAGGACTAGCGTGCACAAACGGAACCATTTGTGTTTAAGCTAGTCCATGCTCATTGGATCAACTGGGAACCATTCAGTCCTACAGTGTGTAGACACTACCTAAAATACAAGCTCCCTCCAGCCAAATTAACAGCTCAGGACGTCCTTCTTCCACTGCTTGGCAAGGACAATGAGACACAGATTCAGGCAGTACTGTTGAAAAATGGAGGAAAACCACTGAACACTTCACAAAAGAATGTGGTATTTTTTGCTGAAGCTTCTTCTGTATAGATAGATCAGTGAGCATAGACTTCAAAACATATGAAATTGCCTCTGAGATGGAGATTAAAACTCAGTGTACTATTTACACCATGTGCACCCCAACTGAAACGAGGTTTAAATCAAAGCAGAATTTGAAGCAAAGTACAGATCTTTTGCAGAGATACCGAAGAATATTCTGCATTTGCATCTTTTTTCAACTAGTCTCTATTTTAAGAGACAAATTAAACCTGAAGACCAAAATTTTCAGAATGACTAATAATTTTGAGTGCTTAGTGAAATACTTTAAAGGACCCTGATTTGCAAAAGTTGGGAGCTCAGCACTGCCTGAAAATAGACACCTATAATGGGTTTCAAGTTGAGCCCCAAACACTAAGGCAGCCAAAAAACGTTAATCACTTTTGAAAAGCAGACAGATTAGATTTTGATGATCAACGGGAGATAGCATTTCTTAATGAGTAATCTTACATTGATTCTATCAACTTTGTTCTAGATTTATTCTCCTTGGTACATACAATCATTTCAACAACAAAAAACTTGTATGAACTACCAAACCTGAACAAACTCCATGCCTAGATCTCTTCCGTAGACTCTACGCTGCCTCTTTGTAGTATGGTTCCCAAATTGTTTACTGGGGTTAGATATTTTGCAATAAATAGATGCCAGATTGACAGCTCTAGTGACTGAAGACCCCTATTTATGTACAGATGGACTTCAGAAGTGGAAGCTTCCCTATACTATCCTACCGATGTTCCTCAACCTTGACCTAGGAGCAGAACACTAGTTCAGTGCTGTCATGTATTCAATAGTTTGCCTCTTTGCAGTGAGGGTTTTAATAATGTGGACCCCTGTTCATTAGGAACACTTAAGATAATCTTATCCCAATTTGCTGGTAAAGTCTACATACCTCCATCTGTCCTTTTTCTGTTGTAATTTGACAGTAAGGAAGTTTAAAGGATAAAATTGCTACAGCAGGACGTGGAAGTGTAGGAGGGAACCGAGCTCCTTTACAAGGAATGCACCTGCCCAAGAAAAACAAAACACATACAAAACCACTCAAAATCTACAGAAAAGCCTAATTGCAAGTCAGGTCTCCCAAGAATATAGAAGGAACAAGATATTTTAATAGGATTTGTTATTTACAAAAATTGTATATCCTAACCGTTAAATCAATATTGTAGCGATGGGATTAAATATATTTTTACATCTATGCAACTGGTGAAACAAATAAAAGCTCATGAAATGATCAGAACATATGCTCCACAATGTCAGCTACACCAGAGTACCCTATTCCATTCTCTTGTTCACTTTAGATACTTTAAATACGGCAAACAATAAAAACATTATAGCAAATTTCTAACACACGATTTAGTATATTCTAGAAACTGTAAAATTCCAATTTATCCGAAACATGGTCCACAGAAAAACTGAAGATAATTGCAAAATTTGAGCTGCCTTTCTTATTGTTTGTTTTATTTTTGGCTGAGGAATGGAGTGTGTGATGGAAAGGGATATATATACACACACATACACACACACTCTCTCTCTCTCTAGAAAGAGTCCTGTAGCATGTTCTGCTTTTTGACATACTGGATCACACATGCAGTCCTGAATAAAGTGACTCTAACGTTATTGTAGCACTATAATGGCATTTAAGCCGGTACACTCTTGCTGGGTTCAGCTAAGTAAAATGTCAGGTTGGGAAAGGTGATCTATACAGCTGCATCACAGCAGCATTAACAAAATTTCTCCTTAAGTGATGTTGTTTCAAACACTGCATAAAAAAAGAAGCAGCATTACTGGTCTGGCTACGTGTGTCAATTACTGCATAAGGTTTGATAAATGAAACACCAAACAATGACCCTCCCCTGCTTTCTTCTCTTTAGCAGTTGTGGTGGCTTTGAATAAAACGTTCTTTGTAATTCATAGAGGAGTACACTTTTTCTTTAGAGCAGGAGGAAAAAAACTCATGATGACTCTGACTTAGTCATCCCACCAGTTTGATATACATTTTAATGAGTTTCCTGGAGACCAGGGTTATTTAAAGATCTGGAAGAAGAAGTGGACAGTGAATTGAAGTCTGCCAGTGACACAAAACACTTTCACTTAATAAAACACTACAGAGGAGTGTAAAAAGCTCCATTTTGAATTACAGGAGAACCTCAGAGTTATGGACACCTCAGGAATGCCCCGCGGGAGCACCAGGGCTCAGGGCTTTAGACCTGGAGTGCTGGGGCTCGGGACTTCAGCCCCATGGCTCCTCTCCCTGTTTCAGCCTCACAGGGGGTGCCGGGGCTTGGGGCTCCCCACAGCTCTGCTCCCAGTTTCAGCCGCTCCCAGTTTCAGCCGGGGGGGGGGGAACATGCCAGGGGTTGGGGCTTTAGCTATGGGGGGAGCGCTGAAGCTGAAACCAGCACTCCCCTCGTAGCTAAAGCCCCAAGCCCCGGTGGGGCTGAAGCTGGGAATGGAGCCATGGGGCTGAAGTGTTGAGCCCCACCGCTTCTCCCCCACCCCCCAGATCTAAAGCCCTGAGCCCAGGTGCTCCTGAGGTTCAGAAGCCCCAAGCCCCCTTTCCGGAGCCCTGACCTTCTCCGACCCTGCAGCTGCAGCCCCAACCCGCTGTGGCTGAAGGCGTGAGCTGGTTGTTTTTTGGGATTTTTTTTGTCTCCGCTGCTGCCTGATTGATTACTTCCAGTTCCACATGGTGTCTGGTTGACCGGTAAGTCCGTAACTCTGGTGTTCGTACTTTTGAGCCTCTACTGTACATTTTTTCTAAATTTATCTGCCAGCAGTCTGTAGAGTGGTACACCATTGAAAAAACAAGCTGATGGGTTCTGAACCGGCGGGAACCTCTCCAGAAAAGGACGTAGAAGTCATAGATAGCTGAATAAAGAGGCCAACCTAGTATGGATCAGCAATTAAACAGATAGGATGCGTGGGTGCATTAAAAAAAGGGATAGAAAACTATCAATTACTTAAAACAATGTTATTGTCATATATTGTTCTAGGAAATGACAGTTCGCTCTCAGCTCCTCACAGTCATAGGCTAAGTATTATCACACAGATAACCAGCTACATCTGGATCCGCACAGGGATCCACCCACGTGGATGCCATTGCAAGATCTGGCAATTATTGAGGGGATACACGGGGAAAAGGTATACAAAGTAATCAAGGTGTTAAAAAAGCAATGTAGGACTGGACCAAATGGAATTGAGAGCTTATGATGCTGTTTTAGGAACCCCATAGTCAGAAGAAAGCTTACAAATTTATTTGCTTTAGAAAATTGTAATTTTAATAAGGTTTGTAATTCACGATAAAATGTAAGATGCCTGTTAGCCACACATTAGAAATTTCTTATTCAATTTGTTACCGACAATTTTATTCAAGGTCAATTTAGTAATTAAATGTCCATTTTAAAAATTACATAAAGAATTGGATCACTTTCTGAGCATATTTATTAGCTATTTACCCTTTAAAAATCATGTTAGTTAAAGTTTCTTTACAGTTTCTATTATTATAAAGGGGAAACGTAACATACACCATGACCAAGACAAACACATAAGTAACTCTCTTTGCAATATCCCACCTCAGCTGCTGGGGGTTTTCATGGATGCCAATTACCCAATAATGATCAGATTTTCCTTTGCAGTATTCTCTTGTGTCACATACTGGAATCCAGGTGTTCCCAAGTCCTCTGTTCAACATTTTCACAATTCCCTCAGAATCCACATAACATGGGGTACCTATTTGTAACAAACACAAGCATTGTTCTGGCAGCCAACTCAATCTAAGGCTGCAATAGGACTAAGGATTTATGGGCAGATGCTGCTCGACAGCAGTGGTGAGGATGCCCAAATATTAAGTAATGTCATCCAGCCCAAAAGTACAAACTGTTTGGGAGAAGCTATTGTTTGCTTAGAAAGCTGCACCACCTGCTGGCCAGATTATTCAAACTGACATTTAAACATGGAGATACGTAAGAGATTGAAATACCTGAAAGATCTGAAAAAAGAAGAACAGGAGTACTTG